CTACTATATTGCTAGAAGTGAGACATATTGGCAAACCATTTCACAGATCTCATCTGGCATTTTTTTATTTTGGCATAGTTTGTCTTGCATCCTATTTTTTCATTACTTAATTTTGCATTCTTTTTTTTCTCTGAAATTTGGAATAGAAATTTCTTCATTTCTGAGGCATTAACATTATTTACATATAGACTATTATCCTCATCTATAGGGACAATAATGCAGTGGAAATAACTGAGAAGGGCTAAATAAGAACTGGATGAGATATCCTGAGACTTAGACAGTGGAATGTGAACAATCTATCCCTGTAGATGAAATAAAGGGTTCAGTTCAAAATTCCCTGAAGGTTACCTGGATTGACAAACATCTGAAGAAGGCTATAGAGAACAACAGCCTAAACTTTGTGATAACAAAAACAAAGATGAGGATAATAGTTCACATGTAAATAAGAGATTTTTTTAAAATTCTTTATAATTACTGAATTTTTTTTTATTTTTTTATATCCAATAATTACTTGAACTTTTGGTTTTGCTTTTTTTTTTTATTTCCACATGTAAATCAAATTACAGGCTATCATTTTTCACAAATATCTCTGAGTTGAGGATTTTTATACAAATAATTCTTATAGCAGGATATTTTCCACTCTTTGTTTTTACTCATGGAACAAATATTTTGATGATAAAAGTTATTTTTATGCCAGTTTAGGTTTTTTTTTCTCCTTGCATATCAATTTCTCACCAAATTTATTTTTCATACATTCAGTAAAACTATTTTCCATAACATTGACATAGTATTTAAATTTTTGAAGATCAAAGTCAACTGGATAGGATGGAACTGGAAGAGTGTTCCACAAGCGAGAAGTGTGAGAAAAGAAACTTTTAGCATAGAATTTACAATCACATTTAGTCAATTCAGCTGTGAATTGATGAGATGTTACCACCAATCTAGTACTGTGTCTATGTTACGTTTTTAATTCTATTCTTACAAAAAAAAAACAAAAAAAATTTACAGCATCAAAATTATCTGCTGAAAAATTCAAATGACTATCCAGTAAGTTAATATCTCACAAAATTTTGTTGCATTTTTGTCATAAATATCAATAGGGAGTCTATATTTCTGAGATGAGGTATTGTAATTATTTACACTATTTGCATTGTTCGGACTGTTGTCATCATCTTTGTTGCCATATTCAAGATGTTTTGGTTATTATACGCTCCGATCTTCTTCAGGTGATTGGAATTTCGAAATGAACCCTTTATTTCATCTACTGGAGTAGATTGTTCTGGTTCCACATATCAAGTCTATTCCAGATGTCTTAGTATCAGTTATCTCCCTTTAACTCGACTCTCTAAGTTTTTGTTCACCTCTACTGTAGTCAGTTATTGAACTCACAACTCTTTGGGTCAAGTCACTTTTATCATTAGGCCTTGAGTTAAAGGAAGATAACTGATACTGACACATCAGAAAGAGGCATGGCACATGGAACTAGAACAATCTACCCCTGTGGACAAAATAAGGGTTCAATTCGAAATTTCAATCACATAAGGAAAACCAGCCAAAACATTGTGAATATGGCAACAAAGATAAAGACAACAGTCCAAACAATGTAAATAGTGTAAATAATTACAATATCTCATCTCAGAAATATAGACTCCCTATTGATATTCATCAATAGGGTGGTTCAGATATAAAAAAAAAAAAGTGGTAAGTCCAAGGTTGTAATTCCAAGGGTCAAAAATTCATATCACAAGTTGCAATGTACAACTACCTCTTCATCCAAGAAGAACCAAGCAATGCTGTGATCCAAAGTAGAGTACTTTTATTAGGCTAAGAAAGGTTGTGATTGGTCAAGACTGTTAAAGAAATGCAAATAATTATCATATTTCAAAGCCTACTTGTCAACTTGATCTAGATTTTCTTTTTCGATAGATAGATAGCAGAGAACACAAATTCTTTTTAGAGGTAAGATTTGGTTATTTCCATTGCCACAATTTTTAAAAGACACACACACACATCATACTGAGTGATTGATAAGCTTAATTAAATAATAGGAAATATATAAAATATATAAACCGAGGTTTATTATAAAAAAATCAATACAATTTCAATTAAATTCCAGAAGTATTTTTTTAAGCAATTTATCTTTTGCTGCTGCTTTTGTTGCTATCATGTTTCATTCTATCTCTTCTAGAGTCTTCTTCAGAGATGTATAAGGCTTATGGAAAGAAAGGGAGAGCTTCTTTTTCTTTTCTTTTTTTCAGTAAAGCAAAACCAGAAATCAACAGCTAAGAGAAAAATGGTAACAAACTTATCTATTATGAAAAAATCCAAATATCAACCCATGTATAACACAAGCAATTCTATATTTTATACACATGGCCGCTGTGCAATATTTTCCTTACAAAGCAAAGAAATCAACCAGATATAAGAGGGTACTGGAAAGTTCTCAACATGATAAAAGGATTCTCAAATAAAATTTGATCAAGTTTTGGGATGTGGGTTATGCAGAGAAATTTTCATTACCCTCTTATACAATTATCTACATTTAAGGATAATGTATACAGATTCTTTCAACTTTCTCACTCTTCAATGCTGATTCCATTTAATTGAATCTAATCCTAAAAGGAATAGTGTGATCTTGACACTGTCTAGATATATCCAGCCATAGCAGGCTTTTTTCTACTTTGCTTTTCAATATGAATATGATTTTCAGGGATTAACTGACTTCCTCCTCAAATATTTTCTACATTCATATTGGATGGTATTTCTTATTAATATAAATATTATTTTTAGTCGGTATATTTATCTGAGTTACTCTCCCTGTTTTTTATTATTTTCTTAAACAGTGAAATTAATGAATTGAATTTCAGGTTGATTGATTTTACAAGTCAATCCTTGTTTGGTCATTTAAATAAACTTCCGAGAAACCAATCAACCAATCACTCAGCCAAATCACAAATAACCACTTTCCCACCCAATGTAATTTTTTTTTTTTTAAATCATTTCATCCCAAGCAAAGTGATAATGCCATTAGGACACAGGGATTTACTGAAGATGAAAAAAATCTTAGTGAGAAGAAAGAACAATAAATGAACAGGGTTGAGTTAGAAGATGGCGATTGATATTGTATTTAAATTTTCACAGATTGTACATGCCAGGGAAGCAAGAAATTGAAAAGGAGTTTCACAGATGCAAAGTACGAGAAATTAAACTATTAAAATAGAACTGACAGTTGCATCTAGCTAGTTCAACAGTAAAACAGGGAGACCTAGCTGCCAATCTAGTAGCATGCTTAAATTCATGTCAATATACTAGGGGAGAAAACTCATTAGAACAATTGCCATAAAAATATTTGTAGAAAAGACAGAGAGAAGCCACATCACTATGGTGACAAAGTGACTGAAGTCAAGATGCCAGATCAGGATCGATTACATGATAGAGCTTTCTGTGAATTTTATGAAGAATCTTAAGGTATACAGCATGAACACCAGACCAGATATGGCAACAATATTCAATGCATGGATGAATGGTAGATTTATAAATGTGCAAGATGGATTCTGACAAAAAAAAATTTCTACCATAACAGTGAACTAACTTTCCTAGCAAAGACATACCAATTATTTCAATACCAAAAACTTGGACCAATTATAAATGCGAATTAAGTTTAAGCACCTAATGATTTTTTTTATTTTTCTTTCAGATTTTGCAGACATTTGAGCAATATTATTTTTCAATCATAATTGCTATGACTTCAATAACATGATCCAATAAAGAAATTTTCACCAATAACACTGATTTATTTACTGCTGACTTTGATCTGTCTGAACGAAACACCCTTATATATAATCTGTCTTAATGAAACACCCTTTAGTTGCTCCACTTCATGTCAGTGGAAAATGTGAGATCTTGATAAGAAGAAAAAAAAACTGTGACTGAGAAAGGAAATATATATTCAAATAGACATGAATGAGAACAGGGTTTTATTTAAATAAGCTGTTTCAGCTGTTATTTTGTTGTTTTTTATTCATTACTTCACCCCCAAGCAAGGAGATAATGCCACTAAGACACAAGTGATTACTGGGTGGAAAGAGAATGGGAAGATTTAGTAAGGAAAAAATGACAATAAAAGAACAGGTTTCAGGAACACAGATGGCGATTGACATTGCATTTAAATTTTTGAAGATTGTAGGTGGCAGGGAAGCAAGAAACTGGAAGAGAGTTCCACAGGCGAGAAGTGTGAGAAAATAAATTACTAGAATAGAACTTGTGGCTACATCTAGCTAGTTCAACAGTAAAACAGTGAAACTTATTTGCCAATCTAGTAGTACACTTAAATTCATGCATTCAAGGTACCAAGGAAGAGAGATCATCAAAACAACTGCCATGAAAACATTTATAGGAAAGACAGGGAAGCCATGTACTAGCAATGACTGAAGACGAGATGCCAGGTCATGACTGAAAACATACAAACTCTTCTTTGAATTTTATGGAGAATCTCAAGAAATATAGCAGATTTGATATGGTGGTATTTGATATGCACAGATGAATGGTAGATTTATAAATGTGTAAGATGGATTCTGGAAAGAAAAATTGTCTGGCATAAAACTGTGAACCAACTTTCCTATTTGTAAGTACCATGTAGCAACAAAATGGCTGGAATTGCTGTATGTGTGCCATTGTTTTATATTGAATTTGTAACCACAGGATTTGTGGCTTTCACAAATACTTATATACATTTAACTGCATATGAAAGATCTTTTGGCTGATATTACATCAAGTATGAAATGTAAATCATACAAATTTAAACATTTTTTATTGAGATGCATCAATAGGGAAGACTGAAAAAAATGAATGAAAAAAAATCATCAAAATAGGATTACATTATTTTATTAGGTTTCATACAGAACTTAAATTTTATCTATGAAGTTCTTATGTACACAGCCACAGTAAAAAAAAACAAAAAACAGGTGGTAAAAATATTTGCTTAAGCCTAAGATCTAACATTACTTGGTTGATGTTCTAGTTTTCTTGTTCCATGAAAAATTGGCTCCATATGACTTGCTTTTGAATGTGCGCATCTGTTTTGGCTCAATGTAATAATTCCATCCTGAAAAATTAACAAATAGAAATCACTTACAGGATAAAGAACAGAAAATAGCAGGAATTTTAAGATTAATTTTTCAGAATAACAAATACAAAAACAAAGCTAACTTTCTAGAAATATGAGATTGATTTTCACTGCAAATAAGCTACAAAATGTTTTTCATGTGTAACATTAAGAAAAGAAATGAAACTAAGAAATAGTTGAGTTAAAAATTTTGTTATAAAATCCATCAATAAATATCCAAATAGGTAGTAATGAATGAGAACAGGGTTTTATTTAAATAAGTTGTTTCAGTTGTTACTTTGTTGTTTCTTATTCATTAAAATTGCCATAAAAATATTTATAGGAAAGACAGAGGGAAGCCATGTAATAGCACTGACTGAAGATGGGATGCCAGGTCATGACCAATAAACATACAGACCCTTCTTTGAATTTTATCAAGAATCTCAAGATATATAGCAGACTTGATATGGAAGCAATATTCAATGTACAGATGAATGATAGATTTATAAATATGTAAGATGGATTCTGGGAAGAAAAATGAAAACAGGAAAAAAAAAAAAAAAAAAAACAGGTGGTAAAAATACTTGCTTAAGCTTAAGACCTAACATTACTTGGTTGATGTTCTAGTTTTCTTGTTCCATAAAAATTTGGCTCCATATGACTTGTTTTTGAATGTGCACGCCTGTTTTGGCTCTTGATTTATTATTGAGCAAGTCCCAACAAGTATCAGTCATAGAGGTTTCTATTAGTGGAACTTGTATATATGATCCATTGCTAAGGATACAGGTAAAATGGTCAGCCCCCTGTACCACTAGAGTAAGTACATGACTCCTCCTGCTATCCTCTACCATTACAAGTGCCAGATCAGACCAAAAGTGGAATACCATTGTCATATTTAGGCGGGAGCTGCCTAGAGCTCACTCTCCAGCTTTGATAGTCCAAAAGCATCTCAGAATCCTTGTGGGTAATAACTTATACTCCACCTTCCAACCTCTCTCCCACAGGCAGGATGTGGCAAGCCTCTCACTGCTCTATCACTACTTCCATGGAAAGTGCTCAGACAAACTACAATCCCTGGTCCCACCAAGGCAAACTTTCATGGCAATAACATGCCATGCCACTTACATAGTAACAAACCACTCACATTCCCTCCATATTCCATCAGTAAGAAGTAAGTTACACTTTAACAGCTTCTTCCAATGAATCACAGCTCTGTGGAACTGACTCCCAAGAGGATGTTTCCCTGATTACTACAATCTTCACATGTTCAAGGCTAGGGTTAATGGTTATCTTCCACTCCTATACACAGAAATGGTCTCCTAACTTAACCCTCTACCTTGAGTGGCCCCCAGGCCTTGTAAAGAGTGAACCTTACTGTTAAAAAAAAAAAAAAATTACAATTGCATTGCAGAGAAAAATTTTTGTTTTTTTTCACGTGGTTGCAATTTTATCTGTTTCATTACACTGGCCATCAAGATTATAGTTTCACTTCATTTATAAATCAAAAATTCTGTCACAATGTCTTAACTAATAAATGTGGCTTTAGATTTTATGATGAAGGCACAAGCATACTTATTCTTAAATCTAGATTAGAAAATAACAAAGCTTTTTAAAAGCAGAAAATAAATTTAACATAAACAAACCATTTTTACTGCAAAAGTCAGCTGCGTCTTCAGCTGATTCAAAATCCACCTTCATGTTGGACAATGGATCAGCTCTGAAATAGAAAAGGCATGATCAAAAGCATTTATTTGATTTGCAATAGAAAATAAAGTAAACATTTCTGGTGAAGTAATTATTCTCAAATATCCAATACAAAGCCAAACTTAGTTTTATAACTCTTCTGGATGATGCCATATTGAAAGAGAGTTTTCTTTTGGCACTTTTTTTGCTGTTGAAAATTAAAAACCTTATAGAATGACAACTTCAGAATAGTTATATATAACAACAAAATTTAATTTCCAAATTTCACTTCATAGGCACAAAAGAAATGTCAGTTTTTAGCAAAAATTTTCACTCCATAAAATTCTGAAATTATTGATTGATTCATTCATTTTCTATGGCTTATCAACCCTTTGCAGGTTATTTAAAGCCAGAAAATATTTTTAGATTGTAATTTTTTTTTTTTTTTTTAGGTAATAACGGCTTATTGATAAGTCTTACTAATTAATTCATAGCAGAGGTGGATTCATACCTTTCACAAGGGCATTTACATATAAGTGAATACAATGAACCAAACAGGAATTGGAACTCAATCAATATTTAACAGTGGAATGTTTTAAATGTGTGAAAAGATGAAAGTTTATTTGCAGTATTCAATTACAAAAGCCTTGCATAATTGCTACAAATCAAAATACATTAAAAAAAATGTATCCAATGGATTTGAGCAATATATTTTAAAATGAATATTATCTACTTGTAGTTCAGAATCAATCTAAAATCAAGCTACCATATAAACTTTAACAAAAATGAAAAGATTAACATGCAAACCTTCAGTACATAACTTAGAATAATAAAGAACATATATCTGGACATGAGTATAAAATGCATAGCTGTAACCACTTAGATGGTAGCAAGTAAATACAATTTTTTTTCTTATATATATATATATTATATATATATATATTAGTCATAAGTCTATATAATGGCTACCAACTCATTAATCAAGTATGATTAATACATGTTAGAAATACCCATGCAAAATTTAAGTCTTATGCAACTTGCACAACATTACAAAAAACTCTTCCTAACAATCCAGAGAGAAGCAAAAGCAAGATCTCTAGCTTAACAATGCTAGAGGCTGTTATTAAATGACTGTATATAAAATCGTTGCATGTAGATATAATATCATTTAAGAAAAATAAGACAATGATAATATTAATAAAACATCCATGTGTTTTCCAGTATTATGTAATTTTATGAACTAGGTGAGATTACCAAAAATAAAATTAAATTCTGTACCTATTAAGTCAATTCATAAATAATTTCCATTTGTGATTATCAACTTTATCATTCACTTATTCAGTTAGTACATTTAAAGTAACAGGATTTGTTGCTATGACTGAGTCAGGGAAAAAAAACAAAAATCTATGGAATGAGTTGGATACAGAGGGTTATGGTTTAGAGATTGAACTCGTTCTCAACAATCACATCTTTTCATAATTAATTTACAATGGAAAAATATATCAAAAAAGAATTGGATGCCTATTTCCAAACAGAACATCTCTCTCGCATAGAAAACATTTTTTCATTTCTATTGAATGAATAACCTATTTAAATTCTGATTATTTTCTTTTGAAAAATACCAATGAGCTATGACTCTCAATAGATCAGGACTTTTAGTTTATTTTTAATAAACTGTTTAAGCAATTTAAATGACAGATTTTTTTCTCATATCCAGGAGAGTAACTCACTGCAATTTCTCAGGCTAACATTTTCCACTGACATGAAGTGAAAAACTGTATTGAATCAATTGCTAATTCTGCTGCTAGGAAAGCTGGTTCACTGTGTTGTACTGAATAATTTTTCTCGTCAGAATCTATCCTGCACATTTTTATGTCTACCATTACCCATGCTTTGAATATTGCTGCCACATATGGTCTGATGCTCCTGCTATATATTTAGAGATCTTTGATAAAATCCAAAGAAGAATCTGCAATGTTATTGGTCCTGACCTTGCATTTTGGTTTCAGTCACTTTCCCTCCACTAGAATGTATCTTCCCTGTGCCTTTTCTATAAATACTTTCATGGTAATTGTTCTGATGAACTTTCTCCAGTACCTAGACTTTATGAATTTAAGTGTAGTACTAGATTGGCAGAAAGGTCTCATCATTTTATAGTTGAAATGTCTAGATGTAACCATAACTTCTATGCTAGCAGTTTCTTCTGTCGCGCTTCTTACTTGTGGAACTCTATTCTGGCTTCTTGCTTCCAGGTTAAGTTTCATCTTTGAAAATTTAAATGCAATGTCAATTATTAATTTCTGTCTCCTTAATCCCTTTTCTTTTATTGTTCTCTTTCCTTAATAGTGTTTTTTTTTTCTTACATTCTTTCACACACAGTAACCTCCTGCATCTTAATGGCTTTATTGCTTTGCTTGGGGTGAAATAAAAAAAAAAAATAAAAGAACTGCAATTATTTTTAATAATTCTATAACAATCTTTATCTTCATGAACTTATTCACAAGTCAATATCAAAGAACACATATTAAGATTCATAAGTAAATATATTTTCTTTTTTTACAGACCTTTACTGCAAAGCTTATTTCATATACACACATCTAACGACTATCTATGACTCCACTATAGTATTATTACATATCATTATCAATGCTATTCAGTGGTGCCTTTTGTTTCAGATGTTATAATATTGCAATTCTAGCACTTTTGAGGTATTACTTTAAAGTAAGACTCAAAGCTACTGAAGGTGCTTATGAAATTCATAAGTGGAAGGAAATGAAATATCTGACAATACCACCCAAAACTGATTTAAGGAGGATGACTTGTCTCTTGAAATAAATTCTAGAATTAGACAGCCATCAGATGAAGAAATAACTTGAAGCAACAGAAATGTGGTTCTACAGAAAGATGCCAAGTATACCATGTGAGTAAAGTAAAGTTTTAGAGAAAATGGAAACAAAAAGGAAACATTTAACATCAGGAAGAGATAGTTAAGGTTTCTAGGGAACATAATGAGGAAAGAGGGCTCGAAAAATCTGATACTCACAGGACAGATTGAAGACATGAAAGACAGAGGAAAAAACACGTAACATACTTAATGAGCTTGAGTAAATGGATGGTGGAACAGGTTTTAGGAGAAAGACAAAATTTATTAATAGTTACAAAGGACAGGAAGTTGTGGAAAGCCATGATCGACTATGTCCTGAGGGAAGACAGCACATAAAGAAGATGCAAGATAGAAAAGAACTCAGCTACCAGCATTAGAAAACTTTTAGAAGAGCTAGGATTAGTGAAAGATATATGTAGAGTATTACATCAACTTAAAAAATATTCTAGTTGATTAAAATATAAAATATATTTTTGATACTCCCTAATTTGCTTAGCATTACACATCTAAGTCTCAATTCATACATTATAGTGCTATAGTGACTGGAAAAATAAAATTACCCTCCCTCTAACATGTGTATCTGTTCTTTTGAATATAGAATCAATGTTTGATATGGATTTGAAAATAAAATATAAATAAATACCTTTCTATTCACCACAACTAGCCAAATACTCGTCCTATGGACAGAGAAATGTTGTCATATATGTTTTTATTAAAAAAATTAATTCAACAATGAACAATATTTATATATTTAAATAATTTTGTAAAGTCTTTATTAAGTACAATAATAAAAATTAATTCAGCAACATAGCTCAACTTACTGAAATAAATTCTTTGCTTGTGAATTATTATTGTTACTAAAAAAAAAGCAAAAAAGTCCCTCACTTCTGAATCTTTACACAGTTAAAGGATTTACTTTTTACTTCAGATTTTCTCAACAGCTTAGCTTTGATTCTTTTAATATAATTTTCAGTTTTTTGCTATTAGTCTCCAATTTGCTAGGTTTTTTTTAGTAACAAATATGTGGATACGTAGTAGGATTTTCTTTACTGGAAACTTTGAAATAAAATGAACTGACTCAAGTGTACAAAATTAATAATATATTCTTATTTATTTTCTTTAGCTTCCGTGGTTATTCAGTGCAGTAAAATGTTTGTTTACAAGGCAGATATTGGTAGTAACTTGGAGAAAGTCAAGTAGTGTAGTTTTGAAGTCAGGCCATGTGAAGGATAGTAGTAATATTAGAAATTGTTCAGTGATAATCTAATGTGTTTTTTCTCGGCCCTAAGCAGGGCAGAAATATTAGCAGATAACCTCTTAACTACTTTAACATACATCATGCATGCCTAGTTTCTCCATGGCAGCATCTTTCTTTGGCACTTTTGCCATCCCTCCTTTTTAGCTCAGAGGTATCAGCTTATATCCTTTTCACCAGGCTCCAAGACTCTGACGCAAACATTAGTTTTAGCTAACATCAATAGTCTCTTTGTGTCAATTTTTTTGATTGTCCAAAATTATTTTCTTTTTCAACATTCCTTACTTTTTTTTTTATAACAGAAGTTATGTGTGGAGCCTCCCTGATTTTTGGTAGTTTTCAGTCACAAATAAGTAGACACTGAACCCACAAACTTCCAGCATTTTTCAGCTGAGTTCAGTCTTTTCTTCTTCTTCTTTTTTTTTTATTTGAGGGTTACCTTCTCATTAATTGAGAGAAAAGTATATAGAGAAAGAAAGACATAAGGGTTTTAAAGGAAAGCACAAATGCCTTATTTTAATTTGAATTCTTTTTATTTTTGTTGTTTATATATTTTATTTTCATATTATTTGTTATTTTACTGCGACTCACTACAATTACAAATGAAAGTGAGAGATGAGATATTTCTAACTTACGTAGATGTCCATCCCATGAGTGGATTTTCCCATCTCTCTTTGGTATCAAATTCTATCATCCACCTCCTGGTACCATAACTTCCACTTTGCATGGCATTGCGAGCAGGGACATAGATACGAACTAACCTGGATTTAACATGCTCTTCAGGCACACCAGTCAGGGATGAAATGTCAACCTGTAAATAGAAACAAAATGTCCACATTACAACCATGGCAATTTCAACCATGGAAAGATTAACAATGAAACAATGTGTTAAAGTTATCAAAGCCTATTAAGAAAATGGATGTTCAAACAGAAATTCAATGAGAAGTTCCCAGTCGCATCATCTTTTGAAACAGTGAAGCCAATTGGACACCACAATCATGCAACTTGAGGCCTTTAAATTTCTTCCTTTGGGATCATCTCAAAAGTAAGCTCTATGCCAACAAGCCAACAACAATTCAACAGCTGAAGGATGAGATAATAAGGCATATTGATGAGATCAAGGAGTAACTATGCAGAGATGTCATCAAAAATTTTGACCATCGAGTGGAAGTGTGCCAGCAAGGCTTTGGCAGACATTTGGGCGATATTATTATTTTTTTTTTTTACACATAATTGCCATGACTTAAATAACATGATCCAATAGAGAAATAAATAAATTTTCACCAATAACACTGATTTATTTACTGCTGACTTCAATCCATCTTAATGAAACACCCTTTACTATATAAATGGTTAAACCAACACACACGGCCTGAAGATTGTGTTCAAGGATGAAACAGACTGTTGCCCCCCACACACACATATATAAATTAAATACAGAGAGCAACAAAGATCATATTTAAAACAAAAAAAAACAACCAATGTATTTCTAAAGAGTAACACTTTTAAGGCAAACAGTTAATATTATGAGAGCAACAATTAAAATTAAATGTTTAAACTTATCTTCTCAACTCAGAGTTTTGTAGATATGATATGTACTCATCAGAAAGTTTGATAGTAAAATATGCATGTGTGTGCAGGTGAGAATAAAGTTGGAAGAGAATCCAATGTAAGGGTAACATACAAGACAATTTGTAAAACTTCTAGTTTGATTGTGTCTCGTTAATGATCCAGCATCATCTGAAAAAGAATTTTAGCTTTTGTTCTTGTGAATTAAAATTCTTTTTCACGATGACACCAGTTCATCAGTGAATCATATCAAAGTAATTAAATTTTCCAATATATATATATATATATATATATATATATATATAAAATAATACCAATTTGTTACTGGTAGAGATAATGCCAAGGAGGACATTAATCCAAAGAAAGCTCAATGTAAATTACAGAGCCTTTATAATAATAATAAATTTTAAAAAACCTTAAAGATCCATTTCAGTTATAATTTATTTTGAATATTGCTATATTCATCTTTTCAGACCAAGCTGTCTAAAGAGATGAAGATAGCAATATTCACAAAATAAATTATAACTGAAATGGATCTTTTAAAGTTTTTATTCAGATATATATATATATATATATATATATATATATATATATATACAAACACACACCCACAAACACATGCCAGCAAATCAGGTTCAAATTTTTGCAGGGGACGTTTATGTTCACACCTCAGATATCTGGACAAAATATCTTGTCACTGACACACCAGTGTTTAATAAAGAAAAGTAGGTAAACTACTCTTTGAACTAATCAGACAGTAATAACAAAAAAGTTACATTCATTGCTTTCCTTCGCAAGAACTAATCATATTTTAAGCATGTCTAGCACCTGATGTATCAAATTTAATTGAAAGTCACTATACTGAAAAACTTCTAGAGAACAGGAAAAATTCATCTTTTTGATTCAAAACCCAAAAGAACTGGAACATGTTACAACATTAACCCTTTAGCATTCAACCCACCCAGTAAATATCGACCCTCAATGTTCAACCTGCCCTAGCCACTTGATGTATTCTCTGCCATAATATATGACACCATCATTAATAACACAGAAAGTCACACAACCAGTGAAACTTTGAGAGTCAATATTTAAGGGCGGGGGGTTGGTGAATTTCAGCATGTTGAATGCTAAAGGGTTAATAATGTTAATATCTTTACTTCTACAATTAAATTTTATAAACATTCATATTTAACAAATTGGGGCAAAAATAAATCAATCTAGACTTTAATCTTGAGCTAAAATTTAAAAGACTAAAAATGAATTAACAAATTAAGGAATTTTTAAATACGACCATCACAAGATTTTAAAATCAGAGCAGACTATGATGAAAAAGTTTTTCAAAGTGTATTTTCATAAACAATGAAAAGATTATAGAACAATGGTTCTAAATATTTTTGAAAGTCCATTTAAACACAACTCCTAAAGATTAACATCTGTCTATATTTCTGAGATGAGGTATTGTAACTATTTACACAGTTCAGCCTGCTGTTTATAAGTCCAAAACAATTCACTCACAGTTGTCCCCAAGGACACATGGATAAAAGTGTTGGTTGAAGTAATCCAAAAAGTGACTTGACCCAAAAGAGTTGCGAGTTCAATACCTGGCCACAGATCTCTGGATACCTCAGTTTCCCTTTAGTATAGAGAGATGAGTTACTAAAATTTTTTCAAAGGAAGCATTTTCATAAAAAATGAAAAGACTATAAATTCCCTTTAGTAATTATTTGGAGAGTTGAGTTACTCAAGGGAATAAACTGAAACTGAGATACACAGAAAAGGTATGGCACATGGAATTAGAACAATCTACCCCCATTTGATTTGAAATTCCAACAAATATCCACTGAAGAAGGACAGAGTGTACAATGCCCAAAATGTCATGAATATGGCAATAAAAATGAGGACAATAGTCCAAATGATGTAAATAGTTCCTAAAGATTACTATAGGAAGCTGGTGTTTGTTTACTAGTATCAGAAGTCCATGTTTTTAATTTCTTTTAATTCCATTAATCCTTTTCATTTACTAGGACAAGATGAGAGACATTAATAGAATTTTATCACTTTCAACCAATGAGCAAGTATAAGAAAAAAAGAATGGATTGCGAAAGTAATTATAAGTATATTGTACAAATGCAGACTTACTTTTTCCTCAGCTAAAATAGAGCTCTGTTCACCTTTAAATGCTGTGTCAACAGTTGGGTGTGCTACTTGCTTTTCAGAAGAATAAGTCCTGAAAACAAATCACATAATATAAAATACAATAAGCAAAAAACAAAAACAAGAAGAAAATTCCCAGTGAATATTGATTTAGTTATCATCAATAAAAAGTGTGCAATTCATTGATTGATTCATTCATTTTTTACAGCTTATGAACCCTTTGCAGGTTATTTAAAACCAGAAAATATTTTTTAGTTTTTTATTTTGAGATAAAGGTTTAGTGATACAACTCTTTCTAATTAACCCATAGCTGAGGGAGAGAAGGTGGATTCATACCTTTCCCAAGGGTATCTGCATATAAGTAAATATAACAAATACAACTGGTATTGAAACTCGACTCTCTGATTAACAATTCCAAGCCATTAGCCATTACACCGCTGGTATTCCCAAAAAGTAATTCATGTTGGTATGGACAATGTTCAATGTTCCTTAACTTCACTGATAGGAATCTGTGTTTCAACATATGGCTGTAAGTGGTGTAATTAATTAAATACTATGCTACACATTAATGAAAAGAATGTATGGCTTTTAGCATTTGCTGAAAACTATGATTTATCAACAATACAAGTTGAGTAACATTATTTTAATTGCAATAAAAAAAATATATATTTAACATATATCCTCTTGACATCAGTTTAAACTGATGTTGCTTTTTTTATTTATATATATATATATATATATATATATATATATATATATATATATATATTCAGATAGAGTATATCTGTACAAAGACAATATGACTAAAGACAAAAGGAAGACTTAGCCAATGTATTTCATCCTCTTACAATTGTCTTGATAAAGTCCACCAGAAAGTGAAAAACATCAGTTAAAATAAGTTTTCCTTTTGTCTATATATATATATATATATATATATATATATATATGGGTATGTATGTGTGTGTGTGTGTGTGTGTGTGTGCAAATTTAAACTGATGTCAGGAGGATATGGCCAAAGCAACAAACAGTATTTAACAATATAAAAGAATATAACTTAAAATCAATTCCATCATTAAAAGAACTATTTTGACATATTGCTAGTTCTAAATATGCACATTATTTGCTAATAAAAGGTGCATCTCCAAGAATCACGGTCAATAATTTTGTAGCAAAATGAAACTAATTGGGATACTACCTATTTTGGAAGGCATAAAACTAAACCATTATTACACTTTCAGCATAGCACTTATCAAATATTACCAGAATATGAACTGGTAATTTTGCTAAGGATCAGAGTATATGTGCACTCGGCCTAGGATGTCAATCTCTGACCCTTTTCCCTGGATCAGTGAAATATCATTTGTGAACTCAGCCTAGCTTAATATTTGTCAGTGAATATTATTATGCTGCTCAAATAGCAGAACATAAGCATCACTTTCTTGTTTATCTTCAGGTTTGTTGTTTGAATCATGACAGGATTCATTTGCTAATTTTACATATCCATTTGCTTTAGTCATGGACAAAAAAATATAGAAAATATCTCACTGTTCATTATTATGATCCTTTCAAAAATGGCCAATACTAACTTTCAGGAGAGTGACTCTTTGCACTTTCTTGGGCTCATGTTTTCCACTGACATGAAGTGGAGTATTTATATTGAATCAATTATTAAGTCTACTGTTAGGAAAGTTGGTTCACTGTATTGTGCCAGACAATTTTTCTCCCAAAAATCTATCTTGTATGTTTATAAATCCATCAGTCATCCATGCATTGAATACGACTGCCATGTTTTGTTATACTTATTTAATCCCAAGCAAGGCAATAATGTCACTAGGATTCATGAGGTTACTGCGAGTGAAAGAGAATGGGAAAACTTTAGTGAGGAGGAAGGACAATAAAAGAACAGCCACAATAATCTTCAAAAATTTAAATACAATACTAATCGTCATCTTGTGTTTCCTGTTCTTTTATTGTCCTTTCTACAGCTTGGTTTTAAGAATGAGGATATTCTTACATTATGTGATATTATTGTTTTAGAAAGGATCTGATACAAATATCGGTCTCCACTGAAACTCCACTATGTAAGAATTAAGGAGACTATGATGCATTCCTTGCTCTTCTTTTCTGATTTTGTTTGCATGAAGTGCACTTGCCTTCAATACTAGATACTCCTGTTTCTATATGAGGGTTATACATTCTTTACAACAGAATCCAATGTAGTTTTTGACTATATTAATCAAAGTAAATAGTTTTTGGTGATTGAGATTTGAAAAATTCTTCTTTTTACAAAAATAAGATAAATATAAATGCGCTCCATATGGTGACATTATCAAATGATATCAGTGGAGTTATTCAATAGACATTGTGACTAGGAGCAACTTCGTTTTTTCAAAAAAAAAGTACTCCAAATCACAAATAACATTTTCTTATATTAAATTTTATAAAATTTCTTAATCTTCGAGTTTTAACTTTAAACTTATAAATAAAAGGAATTAAAACATTATGTAGTTTTGTTTGTATTTTAATAAGAGAAAATGATGCATATCATATATGATAACACTTGTCTTACTAGATCCATTACAACTGAGCAATGAGTTTGATCCTCACTGGGTGCTCTTAACTTTCGGCCTTGTGCCACATATAAGCTATGCTTAGTAAATCTAAATCATCATATGTACACGACACCATTACGGTATGATGTCAAAGAAAAAAATAACAAATTTGTAATAAATGCAAGAAAATTATTTTGTTTGAAATTGGATCAACAATGAATGAATATTTGAATGAAGTTTTACATTTTTTAAAGTTGCAATGTTGATGAAGCAACCAACTATTTTTTGTTAATATTCCCTATTGAAATGGGGATTTTATAGCAATATTAGAAAGGCAAAAGGGAATAGAGTAATATTTAAGGTAAAATATATATATTTGGAAAATATTATGTTGGTGGATGCTTAATTAGATACATCCTAAAATATTGCAAAAATGTTTTGCATTGAGTGACCTTGTGTAAGTATTAATGTCGAATTCAAAATAAAAAAAATAAATAAAACCAGTGAGAAAATAACAGGTTTTACTTCAATGATTGAACAAATCAATTAAACAAATAAACAACTCGGTAAAAAGAACAGAGAATAGCGAATGACTAAAAAAATAATAATTATGAAAAGAAAACATTTACAAAAGATAAACGAAACGTAAACAAGGCAAAAAAAATAAATGTCTTCGTTTTTTAGAAGGCTCGAGTCCTATCTTGGGAACAACTACAAGAAATGCAAGTATCGATACAAAGTTTAAAATTTAGAAGGATTATTTTTGCATCAGCGAAAATATTCATATGATAAAAATACACAATACCTGGTAGCTATATTATAAAATAGACGGGGATGACATCTAAACTTCGTTACAGCCGCCATCTTGAAGGTTATGGACAGGGGGAGTAACTGATATTTAAGAGGGAGATAACTCCTGGTAACTTCTATTCTAGGTTTTGTTTACTTTGGCAGTAAGCGTTATTATGAACATTGTATTATTACTTGCCTTGAAAATCAAAGCGTTCAAAGTTCTGGCTTTTACTTCAGTTCGGAAAGCAACGTAAAATAAAAAAAATGGTTAGTACTTTGCGCATGGCACTACAAACAAGTACTAGGGTTGATCAATAAGACCGGAAATTACCACGCCGTTAGTTAAATTTTGTTTGACCTTAAATTTTCAGTTTTTCACACTGTACATAACGGTTCAAATTCTCTCTCGGGTATTAATTTTCCCTGACTGAATTAAGTGCGCTTACGACCATATCAGGTTGGAACACCAGTTCTCGTTCGATCATTAATGTTAAGCAACGTTGAACCTGGTCAGTACCTAGATGGGTGACCGCGTTAGAATACGAAATGCTGTATGCCTGTTAGTGTTAAGTGCAAGTGGTGTAATGAGAAATCGAAGAGCTGAGTTCCAATTACCCTTGTGCGATATTGAATTGAAAACAGACATGATTGCCCAAGCGTGTTACATCTTCCCTTACCAACGCAAATTGAGCCAGCACGGTAGGGTAATGGCACATTCCTTCCGATGACCTGGAGAAGGCCTGAGTTCAATAAAGAACCTTCACAGGTTTATTTAGAATTAAGGGGCATTGACAAAGAATAATGTCATAAATGTTTATTGTTTTTTCATCATTATGTTGTTGCAAACTAATTGATGTACCTATGAACACATCATTCTTCTATGTGCCGTTTCCCTTCATAACGTAGTCGACTATAGATCTCCACAACTTCCTATATTTGTAGCTCTTAGTAAGGTGTAACTTTTCGCCAGCCCTCCCAATCCCTATTCTGCATTTACACAAGTTTGTTAGGTATGTTACTCGCTATTTTCCCCTTACCTTCGATCTGTCTTGTGAGTGTCAAATTCTCCAAACACTCTTTCCTCATTAGGTGTCCTACAAATTTCAACTCTCTTTTTTGATTTTGAGTATATGTCCTTTCGGCTTTCATTTTCCTAAAAACGCTCTCGTTCCATAAAAGCTCCATTCATGGTATTCTCAGCATCCTTCTATAGAACCACATTTCTGTTGCTTCAAGTCTTTACAACATCCATGAGGAGAATGTCCAACATTCACTGCCTTAAAGGACGACTGATATTACATAATAATTCAGCACTCTTTCTTTTATTTCTAGAGAAATTTTCCTGTTTCTTAATACTTTGCTTAGCTTTCGAACAAAACATTACCTGTGTTAAAGTCAAAAATAAAAATTAACAAAATTAGTAAAAGCTGAAAACCACTTAAAAATAAAAGTAAAATTTACAAGACAAATAGAAATTAAAGAAAGTGTGGAAAAAATAAAATAAATTAATAAAATTAGTAAAATAAAGGAACCACAAATTTTATTACCCCACTTGGTTTCATTAAACGCCCATTACTGGCGTTGTTTAAGTCTATAAAAAGTCTTTCTCTTTCAACCTGTTGCTCCAAGATGTTGCAGTACAAGACAAATCTCTGGTCTGAATGACTGAATTCTCTTTTCAGTTCGCAAGGCATGGCTTTCGCACGTGTCTTCCAAAACCTCCACCTATGAAATAAACCAAACTTTTCTTTGGTCGTTCCAACACAGTGAAAGGCTGACTTGAGCTTGACCATTATAACCATGCTTATCATCACTTGCCTGGTCTTACTTCTCGACCAGTATAAGAAACTCTCTTCCATTTCCCAACGCATACCGTTTGCATATATTTTGCCTGAACTCAACCGCTGAAGCAAGACAAGTTTGCTTTGGTCGTTCAAACTCAGCGTAAAGCTGACTTAAGATCGACCATTACAACTGTGCCCATCCTCCAAGAAAAGAAAACGGACATATCCAAGAAACATTGAGAACACACAGAAATGAAATTATTACAAATAAAGAGCCATTGCTCTGGTCCAAAAAACACCTTGTAAGACATTAAACAACAAATATTTTCCTTCCACATTCTCTAGTATTCCTCCTTCACATGTTCTTTCAACAAAATATTTTAAGATATATTAATATATATTTTTCCGTTATATATATATATATATATATATATATATATATATATTTATATATATATATATATATATATATCAGTTTACCCTGACGATCCGCGTAGGTGAAACCTAGATAGGTTAGTATGGCTCTTTTTTTTTTTACAGTTTGCTCTTTTAGCGTATTCAGCACTTTGCGATGTTATTTTTACTTTACTCGTGTCATAGGTCCGTTTTTTGAACTTTTCTTAGTTCCAACGATTATTTTCGGGAAGTACATGTTCTTAGTTCTTTCTTTTTCCCCTTTTTTCCAAGAAAACATCTAAGGTTTTGCCGGACGAGTATAGCTGTTATATTTATAAGATTATTATCTTAATATATATATATATATATATATATATATATATATTGTTTTAAAATTTGCCTTAGTTATATAAAAGCGCTGAATATCGGGGAAAATTGATATTATGGAATTTAAGGCAGATTGTTCGTGTCTTGTAGCTGTGTGCCTATTCCCATGCAAACAATTAAAGAAACTACATAACAACTTGGGTTTATATGACAGACCGTTTATTCTTTTTTTTTTTTTTTACAGTGTAAATTGCAAGGAAACGATGTTCCCGGTGTCTCTTGAATATGTCCGTTTTCTTTTTCTGGTTCAAAAGTTAGGGTAAGTAAAGATAAGCATGGTTATAATGGTCGATCTCAAATCAGCCTTGCGCTGAGTTGGAACGACCAAAGTAAATTTTTGGAAATTGGTGTCGTTTCGGAAAGACGTTTCGGAAGTCGTCAGTCGACCGTTGGAAAGGGGGAAAAGAGAGACGTTATCCAGCGGGGACGTCTTCATCCACACCTACCGCATCTTGAGCATAGGGAAGAATGAGAAAGGAAATGTTTGTCTTTTTATACTTAAAAATCGCCACCTAACAGCGTTTGACAAAGCTAAGTTTGGGAATAAAATTTACGGTTCTTTTATTACTAGCATCATGGAAAATGTATTTCTTTTTCTTCTTTTTTTAAATTCATTATTATTATTTTATCGATTGATTTTACTCTGTGTGGACATAAAAATCAGCATTATATGGTAACTGGCAACTTCACGCTATTTAAACAATGGTCACTATATAGTGTTGATTTCTATATCTACCATATATATATATATATATATATATATATATGTGTGTGTGTGTGTGTGTGTGTGTGTGTGTGTGTGTGATGTCGTTATATAATTTTTTATATATCAAGAAAAGTTTTGGAAGAAAAGATGTATGACAAATTGTAAAAAGTTTTTGTGACGCATTTCATCCGTTAGGACTTCATCGGACTTGGTTTATTTACGTTGTTGTGACTACACATGCGCACGAACGAGAGACGCTGGTAGTTTCAAGATTTTTTAAATGATTTTTTTTTTTTTCAATTTTTTACATACAGAGTGTAAAAGCACGTGCTATACCCTGCCCTCGCCAGCCGTCAACAAGGGGAGGTAACACAGTTTCGGTGGTTAAGTTTGTACTACAAAAGGTAGAAAATGATTGCCTGTCCAAGGAATCCACGGCATTCGACCTCAATATGTAGCACATGACGTGAATATCCCCTTTCTACGCAGTCGGAATTCAATGATTCGTAGCGGTCTTTCTTTCGCTTCTACGCCTTCTCCATGTTCTTCTCTCATGGCATCGTTAATTCTACTAGGAGAACACACTTCTTTGAATCAGACCACGCTACAATGTCAGGGGCGTGCGTTTGTCTGAATGATGTGTACAGGAAACTGCAAAGGTGTTCTAAGATCAACTAACACCTTCCAATCAATGGCTCCATACAGTAGCGTCATGTTGGGAGTTATTTGGGACTTCCGCACAGGGCGTTAACCTTCCTTGTGAAAACGGATCTTAGGTTTTCTAGTCGTTAAAAACTTTTTGTTGGCTTCTTCACATTCTGTACTAAGTCCATGACCACTTACAGAACTTTTTATGACGTCAAGTGTACATCTGCAGCACGTGACATAAAGTTTCACTTTAACATAATGCGCATACATCGGTGTCAGTGTATCCCCACAGCTTGAAGTTAGTTGCATTTGGTAGGAGATCATAGGCTGATCACAGGAGAAATGATATTGCCAATGGATCCATTGCAATCAGGGTATTCCATGATAGATTCATTGGATCAATATCACTCCATGTAATCCAAACATTATTTGGACTGAGAAACAGCAGTAGCTGTTCGCTTCTCTTCATCGAAATTCTTGATTTTTCAATCATCATGTCCTGTTTTCCCTTTTGACCCTGTTTGGAGAAACCAAGGCCAGCTCGATGGGTTTGGCTCACTCCCATAATCTCCTTGGTTCATAGACTGTATCTTGCTTCTTGGGTGGTTTCTATTGCCGACCATTTGGTGCTAGTTTTGATATTTGGCTGTAACCTACAGACAAACTCATCCGCCGAGTCCCTTATCATCATATGAAAGCGTAACTTCCCGAATTTGAACTCCTCCATTAATGAGGAGATGGGAAGTTGCAGGTTTCCGGCATTGGCAGGGTCCCACTGTGGAGAAGCAGAGGGGAACTCCAAGCCACTTGCGCAGGTACTTGTTGATACACTATTGCATCTGCTAAATGCAAGACGGAGTAATATTACACATCTGCAACGGCCACAGAGACCGGGCCAGTAAACCATGTTGGTAGTACCAAGTCTTCAGTTTGCCGGAGAAATGGGTTCTGTCGATGGATTCAAGTTCATCTAGTGCCATTTTCTTCACCTCTTTACCGAGGTGCTGAGTAGTCAGTCGAATTTCATGTAGCCGTCCGAGGCTCTTCACTGGTTTCTCTTTGTCGGGATCATATCACCCTCCCATGCAGAAGTGAATCTCCCTGACAGAGCCTCTGGGTTATGATAAGCTCCAGCTTTTCTTGGCTTAGCCTTCATTCCCGCCCACGTGAAGAGCTGCAGCAGTTTATCAGCTCCGACCTTTGACGGGACCAGAATGGTGATGTCATCCATGAACGCTCTGAAAGGAGGAAAGAACATTTGTTCTTTAGTCATCGCTCCATTTGCTGTGTCCGCTACACCCCATAATATGAATTCCATGGACACAATGAAAAGAAGTGATGAAATTACACACCCCATCATGATGCCAACCTCGAGGGCTTGCTACTTGGTGTTGTAGTTACCAATGAGGAACTGCATAAACGCTACTCTGAAATATTTCATTATCATTTCCCCAACCTTATTAGGGAAATTGAAAAATTCGAGGGACATTCGAATTAGCTCACCAGGAACTGATCCATAAACATTCACGAGATCAAGCCAAATTACATAAAGCTCAGTTTTATCTTGTTTGGCTGATAGGATTGAGTTCTAATTCATGTCTGAATGCTCCAGACAGCCGGGGAAGCCAAGTATCCC